CCCCCGTGCTGTTCCCTGCGTCTTCCTTGGCTTCCCCCCTGACGCGCCTGGTTGGCAGTTTTACCACCCCACCTCGCGCCGTGTTCTGTCCTCCCAGGACGTCACCTTTGACGAGTCGGTGCCTTACTACCGTCTCTTCCCCTACCGCACTGCGCCCCTCCCCCCGCCGCCGCTCTTCCTTGCGCCAGGTCCCCCCCTGGTAGACCCTCTCCCCCCTCAGGGTCCTGCCCCTCAGGTGTGTCCCAGGTAGACGCAGTCGAGCCTGTCGAGGTAGCTGTTGACTCTGGTGCTGCTAGGGGTGCTGAGCCTGGGGGTGCTGAGTTGGGGGGTGCTGAGTCTGGGGGTGCTGAGCCTGGGGGTGCTGAGCCTGGGGGTGCGGAGCCTGGGGGTGCTGAGCCTGGGGGTGCGGAGCCTGGGGGTACGGAGCCTGGGGGTGCTGAGCCTCGGGGTGCGGAGCCTGGGGGTGCTGGGTCTGCTCGTGTGGCCTCTGGCGGTGCTGGGTTTGGGGGCCCTTCGGGTGCTTCGTCGAGGCGGGAGCTACCCTCTCCATAGGAGCTGCGCGAGTGGTTTGCCCGGCGCTGGAGCCGTGCTGCTGGAGCTGGAGGTGCTACTGTTGCTGCTGGTCCTGGAGGTGCTCGTACTGGCGGTACTGGAGCTGCTGGGACTGGGGGTGCTGCTGGGGCTGCTGGAGTTGGTCCTGCTGGAGGTACTGCTGGAGCTGCTGGCGGTACTGGAGCTGGCGGTCCTGCTGGAGTTGGTGCTGCTGGAGCTGCTGGAGCTGCTGGAGCTGGAGCTGCTGGGGGTGTTGGCGCTGGAGGTGCTGCTGGCGCTGGTGCTTCTGAGGGTGCTGGCGTTGGCGCTGTGGGAGCTGGAGGTGCTTCTGGCGCTAGTGCTGCCGCTGGGGGTACTGGTGCTGTCCCTGCTGGTTCTGGAGGCGCTGCGCGGCCGCGGCCGTACTTCGTTCCGCTCCTTGAGCAGGTTCTTGGTCTCCCGCCCTCTGCTGGTCCTGCTCCTCCCTTAGAGTGTCCACAGCCTGTCCAGTCGCGGTCACAGTTACAGCCCGCCTCCCCCCTGCCTGCTCCTTCTCCCTACACTGATCCTACTGGAGGTCTTGCTGAGCGTCGTGAGCCTGCGTCTCGTCCTGCGTCGCCTGTTCGTGCTGCTCGCACCAGTAGTCGTGCTCCGCGTCCGCGTCCTCCTGCGGTGCCAGGCACACACCAGATGGCACTGCGTCCTTCCACTGCTCCTCTGCGTGTCCCGTTGCCGTCTCCTCCAGAGTCCTCTCTTCCTGTTCTTGCTGACCCGGAGTCTGACTCTCTTCGTGCTGCCAGTCCTACTGTCACGCGTCTCCTGGCTACTGTTGTCACTGACCCTTCCTTTGAGTCCACTGCTGCGTCTGCCTTGGTTGCTGAGCTTAGAACGGACGTCCTTGAGGACAGGCAGGAGGAGTTCCAGTGTTTTGCTGCTGCTTTGCCTCATCTCGTGTCCACGCTGATTGCCCCTGAGGGAGACCCGGATGCACCAGACATCCCGACTCCTCGATCGTACGCTGAGGCGATCGAGGGTCCCTACTCCTCACAGTGGCAGTCAGCCATGGACGCAGAGATGGCTTCCTGGAAGTCCACAGGCACCTACGTCGACGAGGTTCCCCCACCTGGGGCGAACATCGTCAGTGGCATGTGGATTTTCAGGGTGAAGCGGCCGCCGGGTTCTCCGCCTGTCTTCAAGGCGCGTTACGTGGCTCGAGGCTTCAGTCAGCGGCAGGGAGTTGACTACTTTCAGACCTTCTCTCCCACCCCGAAGATGACCACTCTTCGGGTGCTGCTGCACATAGCCGCTCAGCGCGACTACGAGCTTCACTCTCTTGACTTCAGCACAGCTTTCCTGCAGGGCAGCCTGCACGAGGAGATCTGGCTGCGCCGCCCACCTGGCTTCACTGGGTCGTTTCCTCCTGGTACCCAGTGGAGCCTCCGCCGGCCAGTCTACGGTCTCCGCCAGGTGCCCCGTGAGTGGCACGACACACTGAGGACTACACTTGCGGCTCTTGGGTTTGCTCCTTCTACTGCCGACCCGTCGCTGTTTCTGCGCACCGACACCTCTTTGCCGCCGTTCTACATCCTCGTGTACGTCGACGACTTGGTCTTTGCCACTGCTGACACTGCTGGACTCGCCCACGTGAAGTCTGAGCTGCAGAAGAGACACACGTGCACAGACCTGGGTGAACTGCGCAGCTACCTTGGCTTGCAGATCACCCTGGACAGAGCACAGTGCACCATTACCCTGACTCAGTCACACATGGTGCAGCAGGTCCTTCAGCGCTTCGACTTCACGTACTCCTCGCCTCAGGCCACTCCTCTGTCTACTCACCACTCGCTCTCAGCTCTGCCTTCGGATGAGTCCGTAGAGCCGAGTGGCCCGTACCCAGAGCTTGTTGGCTGCCTCATGTACCTGATGACCTGCACACGATCTGACCTTGCATACCCTTTTAGCATCTTGGCACGCTATGTTGCTCCTGGGAGACACCGACCAGAGCACATGGCTGCAGCGAAGAGGGTGTTGCGCTACTTGTGCAGTACGTCGGGCATGTGGCTAGTGCTTGGAGGGCGACGTTCAGTAGTCCTCACAGGTCACGCAGACGCTTTTTGGGCTGACGACCAGGCTACGCAGCGGTCGTCACAGGGTTACACCTTCAGCCTTGGTTCCGGCTCTGTTTCGTGGCGGTCTACCCGCTCGTCTTCTGTTCCCGGCTCCAGCTGTGAGGCTGAGATCTACGCGGGGCCATGGCTGCACAGGAGCTACGCTGGCTCACCTACCTGCTGACTGACCTGGGAGAGCCGCCTCGTTCTCCTCCAGTTCTGTACGTAGACAACAAGGCCATGCTGGCCTTGTGTCGGGAGCACAGACTGGAGCACAGAACGAAGCACATTGCTCTTCGCTACTTCCTTGCTCGTGAGCTGCAGCAGCGTGGTCAGCTGCGCCTTGCTTACGTGGCCTCCGAGGCCAACACTGCTGATATCTTTACCAAGGCACTTCCGCCTTGTGATCATCAGCGCTGCTGTACGATGCTAGGTCTTGTGCCTACTTGGCCTCACTTGCTCACTTCTTGACCTTGCTTGTACTGTGATCTTTCTATACCTGCACTTGCTTGTTTACCTTTATATATGATCTTGCATGTGAACTGGCCTTGTGGCCTTGAACTTGTGCTCGGAATGTGTGGTGACGTTGTGATCCACCCTGAGCTTGCTTTGCTTTGCTTGCCTGGTCTTGTGACCTCTTGTTCTCCCCCAATTTGCCTATGGGGGTGTGTCAAACTCATATGCTATAGTCTGTGTAGGCTGTAGTGGGGTAGACAATATGGGGTACAACACTTTTAGGTTTTCCTACTTGTACCCACCTCTTTGTCAGTGCATTCACTCCTCATTTCTTCACAGAACCGATCCAAGCTGCCGCCAAGTGCGCAATCTCTGACGCGCCGAAATAGAAGCCGCGATCGGCTCGAAGCGCGCCCGAAGCCCTGCGCACCACGCATCCCACGTGCTGTATTGGGCGGTCTCGCAGAATGAACTCCAGGTGTCAGCTGGGCCCGTGGGCCCTTCCTCTTGCGACGGTGGCTCGTAGGCGCGTGGCGACGTCACGATGACTCGCCACCAGTCCATGGCGGGGCCCCTTAGCAGCGAAACGGCATACCGAATCTTCGCTGCGTCCGACTCGACGTAATTCGCGTCGAAGAAGACATTCATCGTGAAGACCCACGATTGAACCGTCGGACCTCCACGCTGGCTTGGGTCAAAGCATGGCGGGCGTTGCGGCTTGAGTGGCATTGGTGCCATAATGGTCTGTTCGCCACTTGTCGCCGCGAACTCCACGTGCCGACGGGCTTCGCGAGGCTCCCGCGGGCTTGGTGCGACCCTGTTTCCTCCCATGCCAGGCATCGGCTGGGCGGCGCTATCGCTGGCTGCGCCTGAGCGCTGTCCCACGCTGTTGTTTTGTGTTGGTGTGCCGGACGAGATGACGATCGGCTCGTCTGATTGTGCAGATGCATTTGTCGGTGCGTGTGGTGGCGCTGGAGTGTTCATCGTTGATTGCTGACGCGCGGAGTCACGTTCCGCCGTGAGCGTCGCAATTTCGAGCGCCGAATCTTCAAGTTGGCGCACCAGACGGTCGAGCTGCTCCTGCGTCAATGTGGCGAGCGTGAATTCGGCCATGGCGGGGGTGTCGGGCGAGCTCGGCGAGAGCCTCGGTCGTGGCCGTGCGTGCTTACGAGAGAGCACTACGAGCGGCGGTGCTGTGTCGCTGAGAGACGTCTACCCCCCCCAAAAAATTGAGATAGTGGGGAAGCGAAGGTGTGGGTGCGGTCCGAGAGGAGATCGTAGGCTCTGAATACCAAGTGTTACGAGTGCAATTGAGTGAACGAACGAGAATTGCACTATCGAAGCAAGAGTACAATGAGCGAAGGCATGAGCGAAGAATATATAGCGAAACTACAGTGGTAACGGTAATGGACTGTGGTTGTCGCGCGACGGGCCTGGGACTGAGGTTGGGAAAAAGTGTCGAAGCGGAGGCCCGGAGCGCGGGTTACCCGCCAAGCCGTGAGGTCGGGGTGCGATGTGCGAAGGTGGCGGGCGGATTGTCGATGCGAGGGTTGCGAGTGGTAACGGTGCTGACTGTGGTGCTACAGTGATATACGCGTTGAGCAGGGATGCGAAGTAAGGAAAAGGAATTTTCCTTACAATGTGTCTCAATCCCTTTGGTGACACCTAAATAAAGCATGAAACGTACCGTATTGTGTCACAAAGGAGAGTCGCACTAGTGCTACTTCTACTATATTTTACATCGGCTAGAAGCATGTCCTACACAGTTTTCAATCTTCTCTGCCAAACGACATCATCTCTAACTCAGATAATACAGCAAACATACCTATTTCTGTGAAGAAATTATATAAAATGCTACCGTACTAGCCACAATTCATGCCCAAGTTTTTCATTTCACAATGGAAAAAATTAGCCATACAAAAGATCATTAACCAGAGTAATTGGCAAGTCATGAATGGGAGGAATGGGGGCTCTCCGACTCAACAGCATGGCGTCCTGCTCACTAGGCGAGCGGTAGAGTCTCATCCCATGATATCTAGTGGAACCAGACTGCCGCAGCACCCCTTCCTCCTCATTATTCCAATAACCACTTTGAATATTGCGAGCAGATACTGTGGACGGCGGGTCCAGGGTTGATGGAAGTGGTGATGGGCTATGGGAGGGTTGCCGAGGTGGCTGTGAAATTGGTTGGGAGATGGTGTGGGTCATGGGGGGCTGCATCCGTGCAAAGTTGTCTGATACACAGAGGGAGGCCATTGGCAGTCACGGGGGGAAGGGAGAGACAGGGGAGTGTCAGGTGAACTAGGGACAATTTGGGGTTCGAGGAGAGTAGAGTTGGAGCGGGAGACAGCAAGTACATATGGCGAGAAAGAAGAGAATCGAGTCGCGAGTGAAACGTGGAAAGAAGCAATGTGTTGTTGTCAACCAACAGGCAGACAGTGCATGCACAAACCGTGCTGCATGGACACGTGCGATGTTTACTAAAAATAACCGCGCCAGGAAAGATTCAATTCAACAAACCTTTCTAAGAAAATTTCACAAGTGGAAGATCCAAAATCGGGATTGAGTGTGGGATTCGTCAGTGGGGTTAAGGAAGTGGGGAGTGAGGAAGTGGAGGGTGGGGAACCAATGGGTTTACCATGGATGGAGAATTTGGAAGAGGCGGGCTGCACGGAAAGGCGGTTAACGCCCGAGTAGAGCAGGAGCGCGCAGACGACGGTGACTATAAGGAACGCTGGGATGACAGACGCCCAGTGCCTGCAGTCGCGTGCAGAATAATATAAGTGCGGGTGGGAGGGGAAGGGGTATAAGGGGGAGCTAGGGATGGAGTGGGGTTGGGGGGGGGTGGGGGGAAGTGGGGAAGAGGGGAAGAAGAGGAGACGAGATGGAGAAAGAGAGGGAGGGAGAGCAAGAGATAAGGATGCAGACGGGAAGTGGGCAGAATCGGGCGAGGAGAAGTAAACAGTGAGAAAGCAGCAGGCATGATGCTAAAACAGCAGCAGCACCGACAGAGACGGAAATCGCAGGAGAAAGAGAGAAAACGAATCTGACGGAACCACAGGACTAGAGGAAACAAACGCAATCCGAACACACGAAAGACAACAAGAGTGAACCGTAGAGGATAAATAAAAGAAGTACGGTTCGACCCGAAAAGGCTTACTTTGAGGGATAGTATGACAAGCCAATAGAGAGAAGAACGCTGTTTGGAACATAGGCCCACACGAGGTAAATGCCTGCACACATGCAGGGGTGATGGAAACAGGAAGCACTTAGAGGCTTTGCCTAAACATATGGAATAACGAACTTTATCACGATCAGATGCCCCAGCGGAACACTCAGACAAAAGTTTGCGAGAGTCAATTTAAAGACATCTGCGAAAGTCAGCCTTCACCACACGACTGCGACGAGACGGCTGCTGAGAGATAAGCGAGAGGGCTGGTTTGAGAAGTAAATATAAGTCAGCTCATGAGGCGGCTCAGAGAAAGAAAATGACGGAGGTAACGGGTACGACGCATGGTTCACTCACAGCAAGAAACGATGACAACGATCGACCCCACGAACGCCTGAATTTTTAGCCGACTCAAAAATCTAATTGACTCAAAAGTCGAATGAAAGTCGACTTACAGCACGACACGATGACAACGATCGACCCCACGAACGCCTGAACCTCGCCGGCTCTCGTGCTGCTCTGCATCTCCTTCGCTTCTTCAAAAGACGCCATATTCGCCGGTCGGAATCGCGTTCCTATCGCAAAACCTCACTAGAGTGCAAAGTCCGATACATGCGCCTGAGGATGATGTTACTGAAAGGAGGCGAAGCTGTAGCGAATATCAGGAAACCTAAGCAAGGTGGTGGTACCAGACTGGCAGCTTCGTCACGGCCTTTGGCTACTTTTTCTTATCGACTCAGAAATTAGTTACGTCAAGGTCTGCGGTTTCTTAAACGACTTAGGCAGCTAATTCGCAAATATCTGCCTACCCTTTCCACGTGAACAGCCGCCCTACTGGTAGTCTTCTGGCAGGTGAGTTTAACATGGCTTGGGAAGCCGGCAACGAAAAACACAGCAGGTATGAAGCTTCGGTTTCGGCTGGCGAAGCTTCGGCTGGCAAAGAAAACTTGCAGCTACCACGGGCCAGACAATCGACGCCAGTCGTGTGCGGTAAGTCGACGCGCGGAGGCTCACCGTCCAGTCCAGTACCACAACATACAGAGAAGGGGAAGCAGCAGCAGCCTTCTCTGCTTGCCAGATCAGAGCTACGCATGTTTAAAGCTGAAGTATACATTTGTCATCCAGGTTTTGGGTTTAGAAAGTCACCTCACGGTCTCACAGGCAAACTTTCAAATTTCAAAAGTTTTTGAACCCCTTCTTTCCTAGGGGTGGTTTTTGGGGGCAATGTTAGTGCACACCCTTTGGCGCTTGCTGATTCGAGGGCGAATTGTTTAGGGCACGGAAAGCTGGTGCGAGGAATTGAAACAAGGCTGGCGATGCCAACCAATTTCGTATGAGGGTTGGGTTAGGGGAACACACCGCGGAAGGGCGGAAATCAAGCGAGGGTGCAAACAGAGAAGCGGAGCTAAACTGCGTCGATCAACCTGACAAAAGCGAGTGATAATCCAAGGGAGAGGAGCTTCGACCTCAAGCCGTGTGCTAACGACATAGCAGTAATCTAGCAACCATTCCCGTCCGTCACTACGACATAGCCCACGAGTAGTTTCATCCCGACTAGCTCGCGGCGTCGTCGCCTGCGCGGTGCGTCGTGTTGCCGTCCTAGCTTACCCCTTTCGTTTTTCCCATTGCATTTTCACCTTGCAAACCTGTTCCGTCGCTTTCATCTAGCGACTCTCCCCTGCATTTTCGCCCGAACTCACCTGCTGTCAGCGAAGCACGCGATGGGCGTGGCGGGGCCGCGCCATCCGGTGGGCGTGGACGTGTCGCTGCCGCGCGCTTCCTCCTCCGCCAACCTTGCCGCGCATATGAGCGCTTCTGCTGCGCCTTCCGCTGCAGCACTGCGCGGTGAGGGCGAGGGGCAGCGGGAAGCCGCGGGAGTAACGGTTGCGGGCGGCGAGGGGGCGAGATTCAGCCGTGACGACAGCAGGGGTGCTGGGTTGAACGATGCTAGAGGCAGCCGCCGCAGCAGTCGCCCGCGCACGTGATGGTGCCTCGCCAGCGCACCATGCATTTGCGCCGCCCATTCCGCCCACGCCCCCTTCCCTTTCTCCATCGCCGCGCCCTCCTCCCTTGGCCTCAATCGCCCTGGCAGCACCGACAGAGCCCAGGCGCAGAGGGTGTGGAGTGCGACAGCGAGCGCGCGGGCCAAGGCGTTCTCCCCCGCCAGCCAGACCACTCTCCCCCCACGCTTCCCGCACGCCTCCCGCATCGCACAGCCTCTATGCCAACCTCCGCAGGTTTGCGGACGCCCTCCCCCGATGCGCGCGCGCCTGCAGCAGCGGAGGCAAAATCTCTCATGGGAGAGAGCGGGGCAGTGGGGCGAAAGGGGAGGAAGAGGGGAGCGGAGTGGAGGAGGGGGGAGACGTGCCAGGGGGCGCCACATCGCCGCCTCGCCTACTCAGCAAGTAATCACCGCCCCATCGCCGCCACATCGCTGCATCTCCCCGCTGTCCTTCTCTCTCCCCGCTGTCCTTCTCTCTCCCCGCTGTCCTTCTCTCTCCCCGCTGTCCTTCTCTCTCCCCGCTGTCCTTCTCTCTCCCCGCTGTCCTTCTCTCTCCCCGCTGTCCTTCTCTCTCCCCGCTGTCCTTCTCTCTCCCCGCTGTCCTTCTCTCTCCCCGCTGTCCTTCTCTCTCCCCGCTGTCCTTCTCTCTCCCCGCTGTCCTTCTCTCTCCCCGCTGTCCTTCTCTCTCCCCGCTGTCCTTCTCTCTCCCCGCTGTCCTTCTCTCTCCCCGCTGTCCTTCTCTCTCCCCCCTGTCCTTCTCTCTCCCCACTGTCCTCCTCTCTCCCCCCTATCCTTCTCTCTCCCCCCTGTCCTTCTCTCTACCCCCTGTCCTCCTCTCTCCCCACTGTCCTCCTCTCATTCCGTCTTTCGCTCTCGCTTCCTTCCCCCGTCGCCCATGTGCATTCCCCTCCCCTCCCTGCAGTCGTCGCCTTCGTCTCCCGCCTCCCCGCCTTCTCATTCCCTCACCCTATGCTTCAATCACAACCACATCCTCCCAAATGAGAAGAACTTTTCATTCCTTCTGCCTTCCTCTCTGCCATCCTTCTTATCCTACCAACCTCCCAGCCTATAGGTTCCCTTTTCACTCTCCCGTTCCTTCCTTTCACCTTCCCACCACTATGCCCCATACGGCGGCTTCCTTTTTGAGGGCCTCTCTTTTTCCCTACACCCAACCTCCCTGCTCACTCGCTTGAACCCCTGTTGAAACGCATATTTACCCCCTGCTTACTGTCGTTCCCCCCTCACCAACCCCCGTATCCCCCTCTGCAAGGTAGATGTTGTAGCCTCACCACGGCTGATTCACAGCTGGCAGAGGCCGTTGCTGGGACATGCGCGTGGTGAGGGAGGGAGGTGAGGGAGCGCATTGGGGATCTTTGTGAGTCCACTGATCCATAAAGTTGCTCTTCCTTCCTCCCCCCACCTCCTCCTGCTCCCCTTCACAGCGCATGAGCGGTCAGTGAGAGAGTTAGTGGGGAGCTTTTTGAATCGACTCATATAGTTCCCCCCCCCTCCCTATCCTTCCCCCATCCCTTCCGCTGCCCCCTCTTCCTCACCCCCCAGCGCACGAGACGGAGGTGACGGAGCGGAGCGGGGCGCTGGACGAATGCGCAGCTGGCGGTGAAAAAGGTAGGCCTGGATCAGATATGCGGTGGCGGTGAAAAAGGTAGGCCTGGATCAGATATGCGGTGGCGGTGAAAAAGGTAGGCCTGGATCAGATATGCGGTGGCGGTGAAAAAGGTAGGCCTGGATCAGATATGCGGTGGCGGTGAAAAAGGTAGGCCTGGATCAGATATGCGGTGGCGGTGAAAAAGGTAGGCCTGGATCAGATATGCGGTGGCGGTGAAAAAGGTAGGCCTGGATCAGATATGCGGTGGCGGTGAAAAAGGTAGGCCTGGATCAGATATGCGGTGGCGGTGAAAAAGGTAGGCCTGGATCAGATATGCGGTGGCGGTGAAAAAGGTAGGCCTGGATCAGATATGAGGTGGCGGGTGCGGAGGAGAAGGGAAGGGGAGGGGGAGGTGAGGCACCTCTGCGAAGGGGGAACAGCTGATGGTGAAGAAGTTTAGGCGGAGGGGTTGGGGGGGGAGAGGGGGGGCGGGAGGGAGGGTTGGAATGCAAGTGAGAGAACACAGGTTTCAATTCCACTTGCTTGCTCCGCATCTCCACCATTGCTGCCTCCACTGTCGTATCTCCCACCGCTCAACCCATCTTCACCCACTCAACTCAGCCCCACTCCACTCCACCCACACCCTCTTCTCACCCCTCACCCCCCCTCCCCTTCCCCAGCCTGTCCTCGTTCATCCGCCCCATGCCTGTCCTCCACACCACCATGGCCCACATGCTCTCCCTGCTGCATCCCAACTTCATCCGGCCTTTGTCCGAGCTGCATTGCACTTTGAGGCACCTTCTATCCCCACTTTCTCCGTCCTTCACCTCTCCTCCCCCGTTCCCCTCCTTCCTTGCCCCCACAATGGACCCATCGTTCATCCGTCCATGGCGCACATGCTTGCGCTGCTGCATGTCCCCTTCCCCCCCTCCTCGCCCTCCGCGGCCAAGGGGAACGCGGAGGAGGGGGAGGTGGAGGGGGAAGGCGTAAGGAAGTAAGGAGGGTGGCCAGGCGGGCCGGGGAGCGAGGGGAGGCCGGGGATGCGGCTGCTGCTGCTGCACTCGTTCCTGTGGGGTCGCATGAGGGCAGTGCGCGCTGACATGCGCATGCAACATCTCTTAGGGCGCGAGGTGATCAACATGCACGAGTAGATGGTGAGATAGGGCTGCTGTCTGTGCTCACTCGGGGTAACCTTGCTGGTCTGTCCCCATAGTGGTTGTGCACTGTCCATGCGAGTACTGCGGGCCCAGGTTTTGTCTTTTGCTAATCATTGCCTTCTCTCTGCGTCTCTCCCCCCATCAGGACCCTTTCAACAACTCCTCCCAGCACCACAAGTCAAATCCAACCTGTATTATGGTAGCGCGGCCTTTCCTGCCCTGGTCCCAGCAGTCACAGAGTCAAGAACCCCCGCCTCAGTTCTATGTGCCGTATTCCTAATGTTGTCAGTGCAAAGATCCCCAGAATATGCCTCCTTGTCGCTGACCAGTAGCCGGTACACCCGAATGTGTACAAATGTGGAGGGGTATGTCAACACTTTGGATGGTGCACTTTACAAACCCTTTCTGACATGAATAGTTACTCATAAATGGCAAACCGTACCACCACACCGAGTGTGTATGGTTGGCAGCATTGTCAGAGAGAATACTAACACTACGTGAGAATAGTGGCTGCTACCGTTATGGCAACACGTGCGCACTGCGCAGCCCAAGCTTATCAGTGTCACCAAATGTTGTCGTAAGACTGATCTTATCTTCATACAGCACTAATTGCTCTTCTCAAGCGGCGGACTGAAAGCGGTGGGGACGCGAGCGCATGTCGTGACCCGCAAGGCTAAGGTGAGGCTGAGGCCAAGGCGGGTTGAGCAAAGGACCTAAACCCTGGAGGACAGAGAAAGGCACGGGGAAGAGGGTGAAGGGATGACATAGTGAGATATGGGAAAATGGACGGTACGACAGAGTGAGGACAGCGTCATCAAAGGATTGATGGAGCACGGTGTGTGAGTGAGCGAAGGAAAGATGGAGCACGTAAGGGGAGAGAGGGCATTGAAGGGATAGGGAGCTGGGAGGCGAGAGAGAAAAGGGAGATGAGGGAGGTAAGAGGGAGAGGAGAGGTCAAGTTGAGATTTGAGAGGGGAGGAGAGAGAGCAGGGAGTTGAGAAAGGAAAGGCGGAGGAGAGAGGGCAGGTAGGGGAGAGAGGGAAGCAGGGAGGAGAAGGAGGGGAAGCAGGGAGGAGAAGGAGGGGAAGCAGGGAGGAGAAGGAGGGGAAGCTGGGAGGAGAAGGAGGGGAAGTAGGGAGGAGAAGGAGGGGAAGCAGGGAGGAGGAGGGGAAGTAGGGAGGAGGAAAAGGGGGAAGAAGGGTGTAGGGCGGAGAGGGTGGAAAGGCGGAAGAAGTGGGGTAAGGCAGAGAGGGGATAGGGGGAAGAAGGATGTTTAGGACAGAGAGGTGATAGACGTGTGTGGGCAGTGGGGGAAGAGGGAGAAGAAGGGTGAAAGGCAGAGAGGGAAAGGGGGGGGGATGGATGTAAGGTAGAGAGGGGAAAGGTGTTACAATGGGAGTATGGCAGATTGGCGAAAGGCGGACGCAGAAAGGGGTAAGGGTGAAGAAGAGAGTAAGGCAGAGAGGGGAGAGGGGGAAGAAGGGAGTAGCGAAGTGAGGGGAGTAAGGCAGAGTGGCGTAAGCGGGAAAATGGGTGTAAGGCAGAGAGGGGAGAGGGGGAAGAAGGGCGTTAGGCAGAGAGGTAAAGGGGGTAGGGGGAAGCAGGGGCGTAAGGCAGAGTGGCGTAAGGGACAGAATGGGGTATAGCCGAGGAGTGTTATGGCAGAGAAAGGGGTATAGGCGAAAAGGGTAAGGGAGGGAAAGGGGTATAGCCGTGGGATATGATGGAGAGAAAGGGGGCCGAGGGGAGCATGGGTGAGATTGGGGTATAGCCGAGGGCGGAAAGGGAGAGAAAGGGGTATAGACGTGGGGAGTAACGGAGAGTACGGGGTATATCCGAGGGGAGTGGTGAGATAAAGGGGTATAGCAGAGGGGAGCAAGGGAGAGACGGGGGTGTAGCAGAGTGGAGTATGGGAGAGAAAGGGGTACGAGAGAGGGGAGTAAGGGAGAGAGAGGGTGACGACCGAGGGGAGTATGGCAGGGAAAACGGCATCCCCGCGCGGCAGGGGAGCGTGGGAGATCAAGGGGTATAGGCGAGGGGAGTAAGTGTGGGCGTGGGGTAACGCCACGGGTTCTGGGAATAGTTGGAGAATAAAAAAGAGTGAGGGTACCGCGGTGGGCCCTGACGGTTTGAAAGGAGCAATTCAGCGGGGAGTCAGGAAGATCCACCGTGGTTTCCGTGGGGAGTTGGGGAGAGAAAGTGGTATGCGTGTGGGGTGTAGGGTTGTCTGCGGGTCCCTCTTGCCGGTACATCGCGTCAGGTCTGTGAATGAGCGTAAGAGCGACGATAAGAGGAAATCTTCTCACCGTATGACTAGGCTTTGTTGCCTCCGCGCTCGCGCAATCCTGTCGCGATTTGAGCTGCTGTCAAGGTGCTATGCGCGGCCGGCAGCAGCGTTGTGAGCGCGCCCACCGCGCGATGTGCGGCGGCGCTCGCGACGACGTGCGGGCGCGGGAGCTGACGATTAGAGGGCGCGCTCGCCGTGACGTTCGCGCCTGGGTGTGGCGACTCCGATGCCAGAAAGACTATCGTGCGCTAATCGAGTGGTTACGCAACAGGGGAGGGGGATGCGGTGCAACAAGGCTGGCGCTTTGACGGCGGGGAGGAAATCTGGCGACGGTGACGGGAGAGGCGAGGCAGGGCGACATCACGGTCGCGTCGGTTTTCTCTTCAATTCATGGCGGTCGAGCCTGACGGTTCTAGTGAAGTTTATGGCACACGATTCTACGCGAGATTTGAGTGCGCTGTTGGCCCTCCGCCTGATTGCTCAAGGCTAAATCTGAGTAGCGGCGAAATGCACACTCTGCTCAGACGCGTCCTTGTGCGTTTTGCGATAGGGCTAAACCCGTGCGCGATGAGAGCGACGAGAGATGTACGTGCTAATCGTGCATACGGGAGGGTTGAGATGCTCTGGCGATCTAGTTTATCTCCCGGAAAATCATGCTTTCTCAGGGCGGTGCGCTGTTGGTGGTGGTTCCTGTGCTATTCGTTGCTTGGAAGCAAGTGTACGTTGCTTGTGATTCATGTGTTTTTGGTTCACAAACTGCCTGTCGGCCCCAACTCAAGTTTCCAACTCTCTTTCCCCTTTCGCTACTGACGTGGGAATGTTCACCCGCGCAACTCCGCCAACACTGGCTGCTTGTTCGCGTCTCAATCCAACCCCAAACCGGGTAACCACGTGGAGGCAAGTGATAAACCTTTGCCTCCACCCCCCCCAAAGTGCACCCTTGCTTTAAAGTTTTTTTGCTCGAAGCCTTTATGCAGCCGTTTGTGTACACACACCGTTTAGAAGCGCAAGAAAACTGACTG